ATGCTTTGTTGAATCAGCTCAAGGTAATGAGTGGTTACTTCTTCCTTTTCAACCCTATTTCTGCATGGGAGATTTACAGACAATCACCATTGAGCTGTCGAAAAATGTTCCGCAATAAATCAGAGAAATTCTCCAAAGCTTGTTCAGGAATAGTTTGAAAGGCAATTATAGTTAAAAAATTACTTCAAGGAAAAATTTGCTACTACAAAACCTGGTACGAGGTCTCTTGATACACTCCAAGGCGGGAAGTCTGCGAAAAAAGTGAAGCATGCTCAAATTGTGAAGGATGAGAAGACCCTTCAGGCCCTTGGTTTGTGGAAATTGTTCATCTAATTTTTTTGACTCTTAGTTGGCAGTTGTGATCTTTCAGCTATTCTACAAGGTTCAGTGAAATTGTCCTATAAGCAGTGGCGTGAAGGTCTTCTAAAGGTTAGCCACTTTTCCTTATTTCTTACCCAAAGCAGAACGCAAGTGCTGGTAAACGCGTTGATAGAAGGGTTTGCACACCTTGCCTGATATCGCTTCTGAGGCGCATCATCTCGATATGGGAAAGTTGAAAATAAATCCCGCTCCCCGTACACAACATCGATGAAGTACAATAACGAGGTAAAAAGCCGGATCGTCCGGCTGTCGACGGCCCTCTTCCCCATTGTGTGCTGTCCTCGCAAAGCCGAGCCGGCCTGACTTTGCTAAGTGCTCATCTTTGGGCGAGTTGGAATTTGTCAAAAGACCATAGGGCAATTCTGAACAGAAACGCTAAAAGAGAAGTCGCGAACGGCTTTTTATAACTCATCAGTTACACCATCAAATCCATCTTGCCATTTCCTGATATTCAACCGTGATTTCGAGAGGACTAGACCATTTAGTTGCTATCGTTGTAATACGGGCCACATCACACGGGAACCTGAAGCTCACAATCAACAGTAAATCTTCGCGCTGTGCCCTGCACCATCTTTGGCTACGTTCATACTTTGCGGCAGCGTCCACCAGCGAGCAATAGCATCCACCAGCGTTCCAAGCGTCCGGCAGTGTCAGCGACAGGGCACATCATTGGTTGGGGATTTTGGTCGAGCCCGTACGACCCCCCCCTTTTTGGGGGTTCGGTACGACCCCCCCCCCTCTTTTTACGGCTTGGTTTTTTTTCTCCACAGAAATATGTACACTACAAGGGTTGTTGTAACACAAGCTGCAAGATGCTACAGAAAAATTCGATTCCGATAGAGGAGACCAACTGCTGGAAAACGTCTGATACGAACGATATGGTAGTCCTGTCGTTTGTCGAAAAAAACAGGTTGGCTCAGCGCCAAGCGCGATCGCGGACACGCCCATCATCCGCAGCGAACCAGAGTATGAGTTGTACTTTAGTCACTTACGAGATGATGTCGACTTATTAATATTTCCAGTTATTTCGGATTAGTTTGATGAATGAAAGTTGTGTACTATTTTCCGCTATATAGACTCAGCACACTGACACGCTTTTACGCTGCTCGTTACTGGTACGCGATACTCATTACGGACCCCCCCCCCCATCGTCCTGGCGCAAATACGACACCCCCCCCCCCTCCCTCTGGGGATTCTCCAACCAACGACGTGCCCCTGGTCAGCGACTAAGAAAGTGTAGATATCGATCTGGTGCCTACCAGCGTCTGGGAGAAGGGAGTATGGCGCGATGGGAGGGTAGCAGGCAACTGTGGAAGTGTGGCGCAATAGGAGGGTACCAGCAATCTGCTACCGCCATACTCTCCTTTCCCGGACACTGCAGACTGCTAGGGCACAACTGCATGAGCGCTGGTAAGGCGGCTTAGATCGACCTAATCTATAGTTTTCTAGTCGCTGGACGCTTCCGGACGTTGAACGCTGGTGGGCCAGTTAATCGTCACTGCGGTGGACGCTGCCGCGAAGTATGAAGGCAGCCTTTTAGGTTGATTGAAACCGACCTCTCATAACCCATCATCTTTGTCTGAAACACAGCAGGGGTGTACTTGGCTCCACGAAATTTGATGATTTGCCCCCATCCCCGTCCCACCCCCTCGGTGTGCACCCACATGCCTTCAAAACACATTGGTGATGTGCTAGAACGAGTACTGAAAACTGTACTCTCAGCTGCAAGATCTGTTTCAGGTAGATGAGAACGTGCTCTCCGCTAATACTCTTCAACAGCTTCGAACTGCGCTTCCACCCATGGATGTGATTAAAAAATTGTCAGAAGTAGACTCGTCAGTTGTGAGCGAAATGCCCGAAGGAGAGCAGGTACATACTTCTTGGTAAAAGCGTGGTAGAGAAAGTTATGTGGTTCGCCTGTTGCAACAAGTTGACGAACCTTCAGCTCTATGACAAAGTTGTCCCTGTTAAAATTCATTATTTCACGGTTTGCTAGAAATTTACTTTTGCAGTCTGGCTTCATTAGCGTCAATCACTGCGTTACCTCTGCGGCTCGACCTTATAATTTTCAAACAACGCTTCCAGGAAATCATGAATGATATCAAGCCAGTGAGTGAGCAACACATGTCAGAAATTTTTACATTTCTTGCGGACTGGTGGAGACGGGCAAAACATTTATTCACGGAATTGTGGAAACGGCGAAACATTTCTGTGTAGTGTCTGCATAGGTGAGCAAGACGAAACTTGAATCTTCTTAAAAGTCTACTAAACAGTCCCTTTTAGCGACGGTTTGACAAAAAATGACGCGGGACTACCGAGCGAGACTGGCCATTAGAGTAAGCTGGAGTTCTGAACAGCAGCTTTGATGCCGAAGATTTGGCTTTTTCGCGGCAATTGTACTAAACACTGAAGAGAGGCCATCCCCTGTAAAACCCAGAGCAATCGCTGCTTCTCATCTTGTCCCGTCGCTACAACTAGTGTAATGGTGACTGTACGCCGGCTTGCTGGTTCATTGTGCACATAATTACTCATTTCAAAACAAATTAATTCATCGCCATTCCAAATGTAAGTCGAGAACGAGTCCAGTCTCTTTTCCTCCACAGTGCTGTTCAATACAACCCACATGTTGCATTTTCACGGAATTCATCCGTTAATAGAAAGTGAGCGCAGTTCGGCGACGGTGGGGGAGGGGGGGTGGGGTGCCATTTCGCTGCCGAATGTAAAGTCTCGCTTGTGGGAACGCTTCTTTCTAATGGGTTGACACGTCGCATGGAAGTACTAAAAAGTGCAAAAATGCCCCCCACCTAGTGCGCCGAACTGCCCCGAGAAAGTGTAGTTGAGCAGAGCGCTACGCTTCTACCAGGCGGTCAGCAGGGCGCGTCGCACTTTAGGGATCCCCAACTTGGTCGCTAGGGAGCGGGCTGTATTCGCCCTTGAGAGGAATGTTTTCGGTTGTTGACTTCCCTCAGCTTTTTCTTATTCTGAGTGCGCAATGTAGCCCACCCTAGCCTGACTGTAGTTTTTGAGTACAAAAGGAGAAATTTCGAAGAAAAAAAAACTCCGTAAAAGTCTCAGCAAAGACCGGTGAAATGGTTTAGTTTGACGGGGAAGAGGGAGGTCGTAAAGTTGATTATTTTGCAAAAAATTTCCTTAACTAGCAGACGTCCCGCAGTCAGCTTTTAACAGAAGTGATGAAGGGCGTCTAATGAGTCTTTTTAGGGCATATCCTCTGTGATTGAAGCTTGCGAGGAGATTCGGCGGTCCAAGGGCTTCAAAATCTTCCTTGAGTTAGTGCTCCTGTTTGGGAATTACATGGACCAGTCGTCGAAGACCTACAAGGACACATTCGCCTTTGAAATGAACGTGCTCACGAAGGTAACTGGTCACTTCGTCAATGACGGGTTTCAGCCCACCAGCATTCTCTATTTTTTAGCTCATGGATACGAAAGACGTCGATAATAAGAAAACGTTGCTACATTACATGGTCGACTCTATGCGCAAGTTCGATTCAAAGAATGCAAGGTCAGTTCATAGTGCAGTTTATTCCAAGCAATCTGCTTGTAAACCTACCAAGAACTCGGGCGCAGTTCGGCGACAGGGGGGACATTTGCACTTTGCTGCTTCCCATCGACGTGTCGAGCCATCTAGAGAGCTATTTCATGAGCTTACAAGAGTTGACAGGTTCTACCATGGTGGCTCGACGAGCTTGCTCCAGCTTCACAGAGCTCACAGGTTCACCACAGTGATATGTGATGCGGAACTAGTGAACTAGTAGAACAGCGAGAAGTGCAAAATGCCCCCCCCGTCGTCGAACTGCCCCAGAACTTGAACATGTGGAGAGTAAAATGCTTTTTGTAGATTCGCGCATGAAGATTTCTATCACTGTGTTGCTGCCGCCCGAGTGAACTCCGACGAGCTAACGAAAGGAGTGACAACTCTTCGACAAAATGTAGCCAAGGTAGGCTCCAGTGTACCTAAAGAACTGTGCAACCTCCTCCGAAGTTGGTCCTCACCATAAGCCAGACGAAAAAGCCAGACTGGGTCCGTAGCTGCGGTGAGTGTCACTTTCCCCGCTCAAAAGTGCTCGACAGCTGAGCTTTAGGGTAATGGTAGCCGAGTGCCGTCTGCCCGCGCTATAACAAGGTGCAGCACTTGCATCGAACCGAGGTCCCGCAGCGAAC